GCCCTCCGCCTCGGACCAGCCATATGGGTTCCTCATTGTTTCGCCGTGGGTGACCAAGCCACGGCTTCTAAGCCCCCCCGCCACGACAAGGCGGGAACCCGTTCGGGGGGGAACAGTGATATGCTTGGGTTTGGGTTTAATTTTGTTAATTATTATATATAATTAACAAAATTAAACCCAAACCCAAGCATACCACTGCAAGACTTCAAGATACTGTAAGTTCGTTTTGCGTAAATCGGACCAAAAATTAATATTCAAAAACTTGAAGGTAGCCAGGCTGACAATGAGATTGGGACGTCAAACATCTCAGTACCCCCCCCGTGACCATGGTTGCTGTAAAGCACCCGAAACGTCGGGAATTAAAAATAAGTAAAATCAGTTAAATAAACGCGATAGATTCCGTAAATTTAGTTTTATTCAATGTGTAGTGTTCGCGTAAATTTAAGAAATCATTATTCTAACAGTTTTAATTCCCGTCGTTTCGGTTGCTTTGCAGCACCCATGTTCAAGGGGTCAGTATAATATAGTTTTATTCAATGGGTAGTGTTCGCGTATATATAAGAAATCATTATATGAACCAGTACGGACTGGTAATAGCATATAGTATATACTAGCAATAGCAATCCGCTCCGGCATTGCACGGGTTATTTCTGGATCGCAAACAGCGCCACCTACCGGGTTTTATTGTGAATTTAAACCATCCAAGGAGCCATTCAAACACTCAATAGATTTCATCAAAATAGGTAGGTAATATACTAGCTGGTATCCGGCGCGTTGCAGCTACAGAAACATAATTGTGGAAATATTGTTTTAAATTTGGAAGTGTTATGTGGTTTAATTAGGAATGATAATGAATTCATTGAAATTGAATGGTCATTTCAAATAAATTTATCGATACGATACGCGCGCCACCTAGTGTAAATTAATTGTACTATACCTATAACCTACACACAAGTGCAAGCAATAAGTTGACAAAGTGTTATCGCAATCTGATGAACGGCATGGCAGCGCATAAAATGCGAACAAAGAAACATATATATATATATATATATATTAGATATCTGCCGTATAGTGGCGGCATAAGATAATACATATCGCCCCATTTCATCCCCATGTTGTCTTGGGTGAGTACTGTAGGATATGGTAAAAAGATCTTTATGGCTTACAATACATGGCGATATAACGTTATCTCAATTACGCCAAGCGTTAGATAACCAGACCGGTAACTCAGAGCAACGTCGTTAGTAGGCAGATCTTCTGTACAATGAAGCCGTGGTAGCTCTGATCATTAGCGCTGATGAATTTCACAATACGCAAGCAAACCGGGTTCGATCGCCGCCGGCAGCAATGGAATTGTTGATTGCAATTTTAAGTGCTGATTGAACACGTGCTCGGCGGGGAAGGAAAACATCGTGACGAAACAAAATAAGAAAAAATATTTCTAAGACATGTGAAGTTCGCTAACACACATTAGGGCAGCGCGTTGGATACTCCCTTGCCCCAAAACCCTCCCAGGAATGAGGGAAAACCTGTGCCCAGCAATGGGACATATAAAGGCTGTAACTTTTAACTTTTTTCCGTACAATGGGAGAGGCCTAGCAGCGTTCTACCTCCAGCAGTGTACTTTTATAGGCTGGTAAAGAAAGACGAGCTATTTTGACTTAAACTGAATTTGTCTTTTTCCACGCAAAAAAATATTATAAAAATGTTTTCATTTCGATAGAATAAGTAAACCCCTATGGTACTAATACGAAAAATTCTCAACTTCAGTGAGAAATAAGTGAGAATAGAGCTAAAATGGGTTGCGCAATCAGAATGATCCTGGGGGCGGAGATTTATAGACAGATTTATGGCCGATAATGACTCAAACCAGGTCACGCACACATACTCGCCCGCTTATTCAACATACAGGTTTCTTTGTGTGCTGCGTGATTGAAGGCGAGCATTAACAGGTGGAGTAGTAGCTGCTATGATTAATGCACACGTGGAATAAGATACCTAATGCCATGTCATCGGAATATGCATCCGGTTTGTTTATATTAGTGATAAAATTAAATTTCATTACGACACTAAAAAAATATTTTTATACAATTACAAAATCTGTAGAAATACAACTTTCATCTCAGCGTTGTTCATTCATAATTCATAAAGTATTGAGATATTACAAACATTGTTAACATTGATTATTTCTTGTTGTAAGTATTTGCCATTGTGTTGTCTCCTCTGAGAACTAAAAGCAAATGTAAACCCTATTTCTCTCCAGTAGACCCTTTGATCTTCCGTTACTCGTTACTCCAACACAAACCAAACACGCTACTATTCTACAAACGTATAGAACATACACAGATATAGAACACACACTCGAATTGAGAACTTCGACTAGGAGCATTCTTTTTGAAGTCGGTTAAAAATCTTATTAATCTAGTTGACACAATTATTGATAAGTAACAACAGACTGCGCATCATATAATAATTTGAATTTAAGCTTTGTATCAAAACTCATTTCTTCTATAATTTATCTTTTAGTTAGGAAAAGATGAATATATTGTGGACAATGATGTGTGAAAATGGCTCTTACTTTGCACTTGCTGGTTTTCCACGCTAATTATACTATACTATTAAAATTGACAATTAATTTTTAGGGTTCCGTAGTCAACTAGGAACCCTTATAGTTTCGTCATGTCTGTCTGCCCGTCTGTCCGTCCTCGCTTAATATCTGTGACCGTTAGCACTAGAAAGCTGAAATTTGGTACCAATATGTGTATCAATCACGCCGACAAAGTGGTAAAATAAAAATTGGAAAAAAATGTTTTATTAGGGTAGCCCCCCTATATGTAAAGTGGGAAGTGCTTTTTTTTAAATTTCAACCCTTACGTGTGATATATTGTTGGAAAGGTATTTAAAAACGAATAGGGGTTTACTAAAATCATTTTTTGATAATGTCAATAATTTCAGAAATAATCGCTCCAAAAGTAAAAAACAATGTGTCCCCCCCCTCTAAATTTTGAACCATAAGTTTAGAAAATATGAAAAAAATCTGAAAGGTAGATCTTTATAGGGACTTTCTAGGAAAATCATTTTGAACCTGGATGGAAACAGTTTTTGTACAAAAAAGACAAAAAGTTGTACAAAATAATTTCTGGACTAAGTTTGTAGTATAATCGATTAAGCAAGCATTTTTTTTTTAACTTCGTTTCATATTTTATTATCCTGAACGTATCTTTTTTCAAACAAAAAAAGAATTATTAAAATCGGTTCTCGCAATCCAAAATTACCACCGAAAACTTCTGGCACGTCTATGTATTAATTAGTAACCCAATTCCCCGAGAGATGGCGCTGTAGGTACTTATTACATTGGATCGGATATTGGTCTCTCCTTGGCATCGCCTGCCGCGGAGCGTGCAATGTTGCACGCTCCATGTTCGCGCACGTACCCACTACCGGGAGCAGTTGCAGGAGCGCGGAGCGCTGCTGGAGCGCGAACATAATGGATACCCACCTTTAAGCTCATAAGTGGGAACACTTATTGTGATGGACGGAAACTACGGAACCCTACACTGAGCGTGGCCCGACACGCTCTTGGCCGGTTTTATTTATATATACAATTGATATCTATAAAATAAATAAATGGCTGCCCTAAATTGAATAAAAAGTTTTGACTTTTACTTAGCTCTTAAACTATGCTGACTATTTTGATTTAGGTAATGTAATCAAAGTCTATTATTTTTTGGGCTTATTTAAAGAACTTTTTTCTTCTTCCTGGCTTTATTCCAAGTTATTTGGTGTCGGCATAGCATATCTTCCTTTTTCATTCTCCTTTAGCAGCCATCATCTCGACTCTCACTCCTCTAACGCACATCACCCCTGACACATTCCATTCATAATGATTTCTTATATTTACGCGAACACTACACATTGAAATAATACTAGTTTTTACGGATTTTATCGCGTATATTTAATTTTTTAAATACCCGACGTTTCGAGAGCTTTACAGCACCCATGGTTACGAGGGGGACTGAGATGTTCAACGTCCAGATGTCATAGTTAACTGCGGTTACCATCTTGCAGTTGTGTGCTTCGGTTGGGATTTAATTTTATTTGTTATAGGATCCCAAGCAGATGGTAGCAGATGGTAGAAAAATTAAATCTGGACGTAAAATGGATAATACCTACGTGCGCCAAATCACCAAAGTTGTATGGGTTACCAAAAATACACAAGCCCAATGCTCCATTACGTCCCATAGTGAGCTAAATCGATTCACCATCTTACAGATTGGCTCAACACTTAGCGAAAATACTCTCACCGCTCAGGGGACATCCAAGAGCACACATAAAGGATTCCTACCATTTTGTCAGCGAGATTAAAGACCTACATCTGGCAGACAATGAAACTATGGTCAGTTTTGATGTGCAGTCATTGTTTACATGCTTACCTGTTGAAGACTGCATCTCAATTGTAACTAGAAGCCTGGAAGAAAACAACATGCCCGTAGAATATGCAGTATTACTCAGACACTGCCTTACATCTGATTTAGATAAACTAACTGCATTTTTAGAACATCTTAACTCTATAAATTCTAAAATTCAGTTCACAATGGAGTTAGAGGCATACAATTCCTTAGCTTTTCTAGATGTGTTAGTAATTCGGAATCCTGATAACACCTTGAGCCATACTGTGTATAGAAAAAAAGACCCATACAGATAGATATTTAAACGGTGATTCTCACCACCATCCTTCACAGTTAGCTACCGTGGGTAAATCTTTGTTTCAGAGAGCACGAAGGATCTGTGACAGTAAACACCTGGCTGCCGAGCTTCACCATGTCATGCAAGTTTTGCATGACAACAAGCTTCAGGTACCGCGCCTACGTCACAGTGAACGAGTGAAGCCGGCCACAGTCGAGCGTGTACCTGCTGTACTGCCATATGTTAGAGGAGTCACTGACAAATTGGCTACATCTTGAAGTGCGCTTCCATAAAAACATACTTCAAATGTGAAAATGAGAAAAGAAATAAATCAGTTACGTTTAGAGAATTCAACATTGAAAACGCAAATTTCGGAATTGGCTAGTGAAGTTGAAAACTTGCAACAGTCCTTACAGTTTTCAGACGCTGAGCATTCTAATCTCAAGAAGCGTATCGATGAAATTACCACTGTATCCCATGCTACTAATAAAAACAATGCCGTATTGTTACTAGAGGAAAAAAATTACAGTATAAAACTACAAGCAAGACAGTGTAATTTAGAGATTTCTAATGTTGCTGAAAAGAAAGGTGAGAATCTTCTTGCCTAATTGGAGACCATTGGCAAAATTGTTAACTGTTCTATAGTGAAAAAGGACATTATATTTGTTCACCGTGTACCCCACGCCCATAAAGAAAATAGGAGGCCTAGGAATATTATCGTCAAGCTTACGTCCCGCACGCTTCGCGATAACATCTTGAGTGAATCTCGTCTACATAAAGGTTGAACGTCGAATCAACTGGGAATACAGGGAAGTTCTTACACTGTTTATATGAATGGGCATCTTACATTAAAAAACAAAAAGCTCTTTCGTGAGGTCAGAGATTTGGCTAAACAAAAGAATTTTAAATACACCTGGGTCAAACACGCCACTATACTTGTTCGAAAATCAGATAACTCAGCAGTGTTTGCTATACGTAGTTCGAATGACCTACACAAAATCCAATCCCATACCAGTTCTTCAACATAAGACTCAAGATATTTAAGTGTTAATATTAAATATTATTATCATTCTGTAGGTTTAGTTTTTTTTTCGTAATAGACATAAGTTGTCATTTTTGCTTTTCTCTTATATATCTGTTTTTTTTAAAGGTAATAAACATAACTTTAATAACATTTTGAGCAATACCGTAGAATTAATAATACATTTAAAGCTGAAGGCTAGATTAATAAATTGTAAGTTACTTTTTTGTTTTTTTTTTCTGGTATAAAGTGTTGTTTTTGTTTTTCTCTCATATATCTGTTTCATTATGTGAAAAATTTTACTTTAAAAACATATTTAGTTATACTATAGAATATATAATGTATTTTAAGTTTAAGGCTAGACCAATAAATCGTAAATTATAATAAGTGCTTAACTAACGATTTAGCAATTATAAGAAAGGTAATATACGATGAATGACAATATTTGTATTTATTATCAAAACTACAGAGGTTTACGTACAAAACTACACACGTTATATATGAATATTCTTAGTAACTGTTACGATATTGTAGTATTAACAGAAACCTGGCTTACCTATGACATATGTGGTAATGAATTTATAGACCAACGTTATGTTGTATTTCGTTGTGATCGTGATCGCATCTTAAGTAATAAAACTGATGGTGGTGGTTTACTGATAGCTGTCCTGCAAAGCCTAAAGCCAACATTATGCTCATTGTCCAATAAAACAAGTTTGTCTAAATATCTAGAACATGTTTTAATTTCTTTCTACAGCTCTGATAGTAAAACTAAACATATCATTAGTGCCGCTTATTTACCACCTAATCTTGATAAGGCAATATTTGAATTGCATCTGAATACGATTCAAAATATATATGCAGATTCTCAATTTGATAATTTCTATGTACTGGGTGATTACAACTTACCTGATGTTGATTGGATCCCTAGTGGTACTGGGCAGGGATTAGTTTGTACTGGTACATCTTCTTGCTTACAAATGAATTGTCTCCTATATTTTAAATGCTTTACAATTCAATACTTTTCGAAACTCTAAACACAAAATTTTAGACTTGTTTATCTCGAATAAGCAGTGTTCTGTGCTACTACCTCAAGATACTTAATATGGGTAGATGATTATCATCCACCATTTTGCGCTTTTATTCCCCTTGAAAGTAAAATTTCCTCTATGAAACGTTGCCGAAACCGCAAATATAATTAACATAAGGCAAATCATGAATTAATTAACTCTAGATTGAAGAATATTAATTGGGAACAATTACTTTGCCCACTCTCGTTAGAACAAGCTACAAATACTTTTTACGAAATTATAAATGGAATTGTTAAAGAGCTTATACCACTCTCCGTATCAAGACCACCAAAATATCCTAAGTGGTTTTTACCTTCTTTAATTCATATCTTCAAAAGTAAAATGAAGACATGGTTTAAATGGAAAAAATACAATAACGTAGCAGATTATGAAACATTTTCTATGTTTAGACCAAGATTTCGTGACCAGTGCAAAAAAATCATATGATAAATATATGGAATCACTTGAGGATGCTGTTCCTCATAATATAAAATATTTTTGGACTTTTGTATCTCATAATAGAGAAAGGACAGGTTTTCCTACAAATATGATTTTTAAAGGCAAATATTCGTGCGATCCTGATGAAATTTGTAACATGTTCTCCACCTTTTTCAATCTGTTTACGAAGCTTCAACTTTATGTCTAGATACGTGGACACCACCAACTAACTTTTCTGATAATGGTGTTCTTATAAATGAACCATAACCATTTTAACATGGATAAGGTTAAAAATGCTATAAAATCTTTAGACATCTCCAATGGAGCTGGGCCTGATGGCCTTCTCGCAATATTTTTTTCTCGAACCAAAGATAATATATGTGTGCCTCTGCATATTTTGTTTAATAAATGCATGCGAGAGGGAACTTTTCCTAATATCTGGAAGCTGACGTACATAAAAATGGGTCAAAGCATAACATTGAAAACTATCGTCCAATTTCAATCTTATGTACTGCATCAAAACTTTGTGAAAGATTAGTACGTAATGAAATCCGTCCAATTTTTCATTACACTGTCATACCAGAGCAACATAGCTTCGTAAAACAAAGATCAACTATAACTAACTTGACCCTCTTTGTTGGTGAGCTATTTTTTAACATCGATAATCGACTTCAAACAGATACTGTATACACAGATTTCCAGAAAGCGTTTGACAAAGTTGACCATGAACTACTTCTTAAAAAAATAGCATTTAATGGAATAAGAGGCAATCTATTAAGATGGTTTTCTTCATATATTTTAAATAGGACCAAGACAGATGTTATAAATGGCCACTGTCACAATACAATAACAGTTAAATCTGGTGTGCCACAAGGATCTATACTTGGTCCGTTGGTCTTCATCATCTTTATAAATAACATAAACGAATGTTTTAAGCACTCAAAATTTTTATTACATGCTGATGATCTGAAGGCTTATAAAATTATAAAAAATATAAATGATTGTTTACTTTTTCAAGAAAATCTTAAGAATTTCAGTTTGTATTGTCTAAAAAATAAACTTTATCTTAGTATCCCAAAGTGTCTAACAATATCTTTTACTAAAAACAAAAAAGTGGTTAAATTCAACTATACCCTCTGTGACAAACTGTTGCATAGAGCCTACGCGCCACTGCGAGGGTTGATGTCAGTATATAATGATAAGTTTTTAGATATAGATATTTTTGCAACATCTTTACCCAAGGCCAAAAAACAACTCCTGTTACACTTAAAATAACATATATGTTATGATTTTCTTCTTTATTAATATGTTAATTTTACTATGTATAAATATATTGTATAAGTTTAATTTTGTTTGTACTAAGCAAAACTAAGTAAGATGTGGATAACGTAATTGATTGTACAATTAACCATTCAAATTCTAATTTAAACTTCTGTTCTTTGTAATATATATTGTACTATTGTTTGTTGTCCCAAATAAATTAAAAAAAAGAAACGTCGGGTATTTAAAAAGTTAAATATACGCGATAAAATCCGTAAAAACAAGTATTATTTCAACATTCCATTCATCTTTTGTTAGCCCTCCCTCTAACTGTTATATCCATTTACTTTCACAGCTAACATTCTTCTTGTTACATGGGTTACTTCTCTTAGCATAATATGCCCATATCACACTAGCCTTCTTCTTCTTCTTAACTTTTCCGTGATTGGAGCCACTTTGAAACTTATTTAAAGCTATTTGAACGCCAAAATACCAAAATTTCTTGAAGTTATAATTATAGTTCAATAGAGACAAGAAATAGTATAGGATAATTCTTTTTTAGTATTGGTAATTCAAATAATATTAAAACTACTTACTAGAGACCGTTGCATTAGTTTATTTCCACTTGATAATGTGCCTGGAAAGACGAACCATCGTGAAATGGCAGCAAAATGCTGCTGATTTTATTATGATGAGTGTAGAGAACCGGAGACTCATTTTATTGAAGACAAGGCATTCCATCTTAGTCCTCTCGGGTGACAACATATCTGCATTTTGAATCTTAGTCGAGGATAGATGTAGATATATATGGGTCATAGCATCGACTAATCATCAGGTGGACTGTAGGCTCATTTATCAATCTTATTCTATTAATTAAAATAACTAAAAATATCGAAACTTAGGAAAAATATATAGAGAATCGTTAAACAACAACGTCAGAAATACCGTGGTGAGTAGCAACTTGAACTATCAGTACATTAATAAAGAACAGATTGGATGTAGACTTTACATCGCCTAAAATATCTAGACCGCTGACAGAGCGGCGGGCGGAAACTTTGAAGGTTTGACTTGGAAACTTTCGAGGAAGTTTTGATTTGGTGAAAATTTGTTATCGTCAATAAAGCTTGAATAATACATTATGATTCAGATTTGAAAAGATTCGATGCATTATTTATGGAAATTTCTTATGGAAGCAATTTATAACTTTAAAATTCTTATAACAAAACGTAGTTTATTGATAGTTTAGAGCTTAAGAAAATTTTAAAAGGATTACTAATAGCTTAAACCCGGGACTATTAAATAAATCGCATTGTATTATAAGATTAGAAGAGTTGGCATAGAAGTTAATATTGAATATTTTTGAGTATTCAAAAATCCTAAAAGTAATCACAAGTATTATACTACATATCAGAAAAATACATGTCAAATTGCCTCGGAAACAACGAATTTCAAAGGCAATAACGGATTTTTTATTTTACAAGACAATGCACCTCTAAACACTGTATGTACAGTTCAAGATTTCTGAACTACAATTATTTTTAAATCCGGAAAAACTTGAAAACATAGTTTATTCAGTAATAATAACAATAATATCCTCAAGACCGAATTTCAGTCACGGCGGCAAGTCTCAACGGAGACTAGCTATCGGGGCAGCATATTATTATAGTGTCCAAGTGTATGCGCAAGTACAGGTTCCCTCATTCTCATAATCCTGAATTCTCATAATCAGGCGCAGGACCAATGGCTTTACGTGCTTTCCGAGGCTCGGGGGTGAGACACCGCCAACTACGGGCAGCTACTGAAAATAACTCAATAATTG